TATATATATATATATATATTAATATATATATCTCTGTTTATTTATGTAACTTCAATATTTATGTAGTGATCACCCTAAGTATATCGCCCTATAAAATAAACCACCCTCCATTAGATTTTTTTTTCATGTGCTAGTCTTCATTATTTTTAATACATCTTCATAGTTGGACATATATGATATAACTATCTCCTCATCCTCTCCCTCACTCACTTTTGCATAACCCTATTTCACGACTCTTATATATGTCCCCCACATTTTGTCTCCATTTCCCACTTATTTAGACAAGTATCCACTTCTCGCGTGTAGAAGCTATCTTTCAAATAGATGATGGAAATGATGGATTGTGCATGAAGAACTCAAAGTATGATGTTCTTATTTTTTAGGGTTTCCTTAAGTCTCTTGGTTATTGCAGGCCTTGTCAATTTTTTTTGAATTTATTACACAACTATCACTGTTAGCCCTACATTAATTTGAAAATTGTCATTTCAACTTAGTTAACATCTTATTGACTTTACATGTCGGTGGCACTAATTATTGGTTTTACTTTTTTAAGTTTTATATGTTTTTATTCTTTATTTTTTTTGTATTGTAAATTGTGTTGATCCTATCAAAGAAGACCACTCTAGGGTCCAAGGGCCCTTGAATTCATATTTTTTACTTATATGGGAGGACAATTTTGTCTTTTGTCTATCTTGAAATATCAAATTTGCCCTTTTTGAAAAACCACTTGACCCTTCCTTGTCTAGCCGTGTGTACTTTGCCCCTCTGTATCCCTCTTAAGAAAGGGACTAACTCAACTCTTAGCATTATGTTTTAAATTTGGTTGTGTATATACTTCTGCTCCATTAATTGAACTTAATCATGAATTTTATACACTTGGTAAAACCATGATCATCATTGTTGTTTCCTAATAAATTATTCCTCACTTCGATTTCAATTTAAACTACGTCTGCATTGGCATGCACGAGCCACAAAAACTAGTGGAAGAAATATTAACCAGGATTTGCACTTTACAAACTTATTAATCATGCAATTACAATATACAATAAGGCAGCAGCCACAAAAACCCTAAATTATTTATGTAAGCTAAGTACATATGTTCATCGTGGCAAGCATGTAAATGCCCCTTTAATTAATTTTGCACTTTATTTATCTTTGGTTATGCATATGATACAACACTTGATTTATGCTTTTGGTTATGCATATGATACTACACTTGATATGCACATCTGGTTATGCAAATTATAATGCACTTAATTTGCAACTTTGATTACACATATTATACTACACTTAATATGAACATTTGGTTAAGCATGTGATGCTGCACTTGATTTGCATATTTGATTATACATATGATACTACACTTGACTTGCAATTTTGGGCATGCATATGATACAGCTTGATCTTCGACTTTGGTTATTTTTTTAACATTATTATTATAGGGCTACGATTAAGAAATTTTATATATAAGCATGACTCGACCAATTATAATATGAATTAATCAGTAGTTGGACTTAGGTGATGTTTTGTGTGTTCAATACTTTATTTTTGTATGCATGAACGTGTCCGACTAAATGATTCCCTCTATTGCTTTGATATTGTGATTTTTTTTTTTTTTGGTATGTGCAAATTGCATTTTATTGCATGCTTTTATGACTTTGGAATGAGTCAGTTGCCTCAAGCTACAAAGATTCATTCGAGTTCATTTTTTATATGATTTCATAATTTAGTTATTTTAATTATAAGTGTTATATTATATCATATGGTTAAGATATGTTAATACTTTGGAATATGTAAGTTATTTGCTATGCAATAGTTTTTTTAGCAGGGAATAGAATTTAACATATATATTTGTTTAGATGCTTACTCAGATCTGACATCACAATATCATTGATGTTGGTTCTTCCGCTGGTTTTTGTGTCTTATGCTAAGATGTATATTTGGGGATAATTTTCTAGGGAGATGGTAATAATAGCAATTATTATTTCAAGTGTATATAATTTCACGATTAAAGTGAACAAATGGAGCAACAATGCATTCTCTATTGAATGATTATATGTCTACTCGTGATGAACTGTTGATGAATAGCAGATAGTAATTTGATCCTTATGTAGCTCTATTTTATGAGCTTGATGTTATGGTATGGCTCATATATCATATAGGGACAGCGCTGGAATGAAGCGGAGGGGAGCGGAGCGAAAGAATCTGTCCAAATTGGGAAGTTACGTTATATGGGTTGGGGCTATACGGTACAGGGGTAATTTGGGAATTACATATTGTACTGCAGGGCTTACTCTAGGATTATAAATAGACTTGTTTGTAATCCTAGGTCTTTGAGAGAGTTGAATTTTGTATTTTGTATTCTTTTCTGAATATTGAAAAGGAGGTCGCCGCTCTGCTCCCGAGGACGTAGGCATCTTTGCCGAACCTCGTTAAATCTCTGTGTTCTTCTGGATTTGTGTCGTCACTGTTTTTTTTTTCGCCATAATTTTCCCAACAAGTGGTATCAGAGATCAGGTTCGAGGGCAAGGAAGAAATTTCGTCGGCGCGAGGAAGAAGATTTGGCAAGGAGTTCGAAGGCTAAGTCTTCGGCGAAGGTTTTGCGCGGGTTCAGTGGTTCCAATCCAGAGATTCGCGGCCAGAAAAAGGAAGGTTCGCGAGGGTCGGCGGTTCGCTGTACCGAAGGCTGCTGGGGAGTTGTCCGGCGCAAGAAGGAGCGGAGGATCGCTGCTTTGCGACAGGCAGAAGCTTTCGGCGACAGGCTTTCGGCGGAGGCTTGCGGGAGGCAGAAAAGAAACCAAAGCTAGAGGATCGCCGAAATTTCGGCTTCAACGGAGAAGGCGCTCCAGAGGATCGCGGAAGAAGACTGCGGAAATTTCGGCGTGCGGAGCAGGAAGGGTTCGACGTTGCAAAAGGGAGGGGATATCCTC